AAAAAAGAGAATAACGAGACAAATTTATCGCACTGAATCACTTCGCACGCTTGGAGCTGCTGCTTCATCATCGGCTCAGAATATGATCAACACCTTCGACGAGGGCAATTCTTCTTTAACCAGCAACAACACCTATTCTGCCGATCCTATCAGCTATATTAACTCTGATACATATACCGACCTTACTACTTCTGCAAACCCTAAAGCCTTTGTCGATCCCTCAACGTCTGTCGCCACTGCTGGCAAAGACTCTGAGGTTGAGGCTGACCCTATGGATCTCCATACCATTTTCAATAAACAGGTATGGATAGACTCCAAAATAGGAACAATCATTCTCACCATCATTATTTATTTATTTGTTTTTGGCATATCAATCTAGGCACAAGGCAACCAGCTCTCAGATCAAGACATCAACAAGTTGAACAGCATCATCCAATCTGGTGGCTCAGATGTGAAAGATAAACTGGCCTCTATTGCAAGCAAGACACTGTTGAAACAAAAATGGGATGCTACAGACGATATCATAGCCAAGTAAGTTAAAAATAAATAAAATAAATAAAAAATGGGCACTGAAACTTATTGTATATATTGACATTAGGCTATCCTTATCATCTATTTGCAACCTTATTTCGCCAACCACATTTGATGTGCTTAAAGATATTCTTGGTAACGAAGAACTTTTGCGCCTAGATAATTTGCCTCAGCCATCCTATCCTGGTCTCTCAGCTGAAAATGGGCGATTGCTGAAAGACTTATTGGAATCAAGGTATATATAATAAAGCGAGGACGTGAGTGAATCCAAAACAATTGCTCCCATCAATTTTTTTAGTGATAATGTGAATGATCTCTTGGAAAAAGTGTATACCAACCAGAGGGATCTTGTGGCAAAAGGCAAAAGAACAAGCGAACTATACACAGCGCTTGCCATGATCCATTTAGTGTAAGTATATCGGGTTTAGCAAGATGTGATGCTAATGAGTACCTTTTTTACATTAGAGTCGAAAATTTGGAAAATTGGAAAGTGATTGACTCGGAAATGACGGTTTACAGAAGGCTGGCATCGCTTTTGGATATCCTATTCTGGCGTTCCCCTGTGGACCTTGTGGAGTAAATGGCAAGGTGCAGATAGAAATAGAATGAACTAATTTAACAAAACAACCATTTTTATCTTGATAGTGGCGACTGCTCCTCTTTATCATCAAAAGATGCCATGATCTTGAATCAGACCGACGATAGTGATATGGTCACATCCTATGGTCGCAAAATCGACTTGATGATCATGACTTCAACTCAAAATTTCCGCATTGAGTTGAATTCATCGGAATGGAAAAGACATCACGCAAGTCCAACACTCGTTCTAAAGCAGCAATCAAAGAATCTAAGGACCAATGCCTCAATTCTTGCTAAGTTGATAAGGCTGGCAGATTGCGACCATGTTATTGCCATGGATTGGATTGGTGAGTGAAGACAGTACCAGCACATCCCTTTGTTTAACCCATATCACTTTTGACTAATACAGGAACAACCGGATATATGTACATTTTAATGAACGACAACGGCATCTTTGTGGCAAAATCAATGGCTTGTTTGGCAATCCCAACATCGTTTGGTCAGCTCAAAGGTTTTCAAAAGACGTTGAACAGTCTTTTTTCCTGGAAAGTACTCATTTCTAATTGATTGGTCTCATATTCATCACTCATTTTCTTTCTTTTTTCTTTTCTGACATAGAAACATGTGGAGTCATTGGCCATGAAAATCTGTCATGCTGTGGACAAAAAAAAAATTCCCTTGAATGGCATTGTGCGGAAATCTACTTCAGAATCCATTCTTGCACCATCACAACCCATAGCAACCCCTGTTTTTTCACCGAAACAGAAAAAGCGCACTTTGGCTCAAGTGGAACAATAAATGAGTCGATAGCAATGCAAGACACTGGTTTTTCTCTCTGCTAAATAAAGAACCACGATCTATCTCTTTTTTTTTTTCTTGATACGTCGTATCGGCAATGTACTATGATAGGCGCCAAACAAACTCGTTCATCTGTCCTTCGCAGATCAGAATAAGCTTGAATGGTTACGAAATAATCAGGATAGACTTTGTGCCGATGTTTACAGCGGTCTATCAGACGCCATCACTCAGGATGACCAAGTGGGCGCTGCAAGCTTGGGACGTAGGTTTATTCTTCCCAGCAGCTATCATGGCGGTCCCCGTTTAATGAGTAGGCTATACTATGACTCTATGGTCATTGTTCAGCATTTTGGGAAGCCATCTCTTTTCATTACCTTCACGGCCAACCCCAAATGGAAAGAAATCACTGAGGAGCTGCTGCCCGGACAAACAGCATCTGATAGGCCTGACCTCATTGCAAGAGTATTTAATATCAAAGTTAAACACCTTTTGAACGATTTGAAGAAGAAGCAGATTTTTGGTCGCTACAAAGGATTGGTACGCACCATTGAATATCAAAAGAGAGGCTTGCCTCATCTGCACTTGCTGCTCTTCCTTGACCCCGAAGACAATTTTGTTGATGCTGAGGAAATTAATCAAGTAATTTCAGCAGAACTGCCAAACAAAAATACAGACAGAGAGCTCTTTGGGATAATCACGTCATGCATGCTCCATGGCCCATGTGGAGATATTAACTCACGCTCACCATGTATGGTTGAAGGCGCAGGTGGAGGAGGGCCGCTCTGCTGCTCTAAGAGATTCCCAGAAGAATTTTAAGATGAAACTGTCATACCAGAGAACGGATACCCTCTATATAGGCGAAGACGAGTGCCTGCTGAGGAACAGAACAATTACTTTTATTCTATAAGGCCGCCTGGAAGAGTTGCTTCTGATTTCGTTATGGACAATAGATAGGTTGTACCATATAACCCATACCTATCCAAAAAGTACAAGGTACATATAAACGTTGAAGTTTGCGCTGGCATACAAGCAATTAAGTATGTTAACAAGTACATCTATAAGGGGTCGGATAGAACAACTTTAGAAATCGAAAATAGCCAAGATGAAATAAAAAAGTATCTTCAAGGAAGATATATTGGCCCAACCGAAGCTGTTTGGAATATTTTCCAATTCAAAACCCACGAAGAAGATCCCACGGTGATCAGCCTTCAGGTTCATTTACCTGGTGAACAAGCAGTCTGCTTTCCTTCAGATGCGTCAGCAGCAGAGATTGCAACGATTTTAGAAAGAAACAGGACAACGTTGATGGCCTTTTTTAACTATAATGCAAGAGATGAAGATGGAAGGTCATACCTTTACCAAGAATTTCCTCAGCATTTTGCCATTGGTAGAATGTGCCACTGCAGTCCTATCGCAGGAGAGAGGTATTACTTTTGTCTTCTCCTCACCAGCGTACATGGTCCCAAGTCTTTTGAGGATATTAGGACAGTCAATGGGGTTATATATGCGACATTTAGAGAAGCTTGCGTCGCTCTTCATTTGATCGAAGACGACAGAGAATGGGATCGACACTTTACTGAAGCACGATTGTTTGCTACCGGAGGTGATTTGCGTAGACTTTTTGTCACTGCATTGTTACAAGGTCAGTTAAGCAACCCTTCAGCACTCTGGAACAGTTACCGTGATGATATGTGTGACGAACTATCGCATAGGCTTTTAAGCCTACTAGGTGATGATTTCGCAGTACACCTTCTGAATCAAGCATTCTAGCATGAGGGCCCAGCTGCAGATTACGGCCTATATCTATTGTAGAGAAAGCTCGAAGAGAACGGGAAAAGCCTCCAGATGTTCAACCTGCCTGAACCTCTCTGTGATTGGCAATCTTTGCTCGAGAGCAGTGATGGCAACCAAATCGAAGCCAACCATCTCATAAGAAGAGCACTGATATTTGACTCTGAACAAGTCCTGATCGAGTTCAACAGAATGCATAGCCAGCTCAACCAACAGCAAATGCACGCCTTTGATACTATCACCAGCAAGATTGAGTCTGATCCTAGAAACAGCCAATTCTTCCTACAAGGCCCTGCCGGTACAGGCAAAACATTCATTTACAACACTCTCTGTAACTATTACAAGAGTAAAAATGAAATCACCCTTTACGTTGCCTCCTCTTGGATCGCCGCACTTCTCCTTCCGGATGGCTAAACATCACATTCATTGTTCCAGATCCCGTTGTCCATAGATGAATGCTCCACTTGCAGCATCCGAAAGGATAGCAACCTAGCGGAAATGATCAGACGAGCCAAGGTAATCATTTGGGATGAGGTGCCAATGCAGCGCAAGTATTGCTCTGAAGCTGTTCATCGCGCCTTTCAAGACATCTGCGATGATCCTGATGAGCTCTATTTGTTTGGAGGAAAGCCTGTTATCCTTGGTGGTGATTTTGCTCAGATCCCACCAGTGATCAGAAGGGGTAACAGAGCTGATACTGTTAGTGCGTCAATCAAGCAGTCATTTTTATGGTCAAGGCTCCGGCTCTTGAGGCTTACGCAGAATCTGCGTTTAACAAACCTTTTTAATCAAAATGATATTGCATTTGCAAGATTTATAGCAGACATTTCATATAACCATACACTTTATGATTCAATTAAGTTTCCTGGCTATATCTATCAGACCAAACAACTGGATGAATTTATCAGCAAAGCCTATAAAGATGAAGAAATCAGTAACTCTATGTCGATAAACAATGGTCAATTTTTTGGTGAAAGGGCCACATTAACTACCAGAAACGGCACAGTTGGAAGAATCAACGACATTGTTCTCAATAAGATGGCTGGCGAAAAGGCTACGCTTCTGTCTACAGACTCTGCTGATGTTAATGAAGCCGATGGTTTACACACTGTTCCTATAGAATATTTACACAGTTTAAACCCAACCGGTTTGCCTCCATCTAAGCTTGAGCTCAAAGTTGGTGCGCCAGTAATGTTATTAAGAAACATTAATCCAGCAAAAGGTCTATACAATGGCATTCGCCTGGTTGTCGTACGAATTGGCAGCTATATGCTTCAGGTTCGCCTGGCCAATAAGTCGGATGGTCCATTAGAGCTTATACCTCGGCTTACACTCTCAACGCATGAATGTGATTTGCCATTCATTCTAACAAGAAAGCAATTTCCTGTCAGGCTATGCTTTGCTATGACAATTAACAAATCACAAGGGCAATCACTTAAAAATGCAGGAATTGACTTGCGTCGTCCGTCGTTCATGCATGGTCAGCTATATGTCGCTCTTTCAAGAGTTACCTCTCTTTCTGGAATCTCAGTCCTTCTGCCAGAAGGTTCGAATACAACCAACAATGTTGTCTACCCAGAGTTATTACTTCACTAATATTAGTTAATATATCCATCTATATAACACATCATATGATCACCAAACAAACTTATGCCTACAATTATGAATGCTTTATGACTATGCCATTCTTTTCAACACATAAACCTTTACGAATAATACTATTAACATATATGCTCTCTATTATGGATAAATAATTTTATGAAACCATGCAGAGAGGAATCGGAGTATGCTGTTAGGCGCACAAAAATCCAAATTTAGCCATTCGCTTAAAGGGTCGTATTAACATTTGCCCTTACTCATCACAAAGGGCGAAGCCCTTAAGCCTGCGGCAGCACGGCGACGTGCAAAAACGAGAGTAGCGAGTTGGAAGCGGCTAGTGAGATATATGTACTGTATTTTTTTCCAATATACATTTTTACTTTGAATTATATTTCTTCATCGGCACTATCTTCATTTTCATCTTCTTTTTCGTTTGTTTCGAACGTAAGATCAGAATCAGAATATGATTTTACAGCTGAAACATATTCGTCAACATTAATAATCTTTTCTCTCGGTGCGTTTTTCTGCCCTTTCTTTATATTGTCCATTTTAGAGTTAATTGTCTTGCTGTATTTTGTTATCATTGTGTCAATATTATTAATCATTGGCTAGCAAATTAGAATGAAAAAGATGAGAAAGAGAAGACAAAACAAAAAGTTAAGTAAACGCCCTCTAAAGTAACTAGGGAAGTTTTAACTGGTCTCACTTACCTCAACTAAGCCAAATACATCAATCAATGCTTTTACTCCTCCGTTCTTAATGTTGTATTCAGCTTTAGTATTATTGAAAAAGGCTATTAAGTCGATGACTTGCGAATTAGATTCTTTATTAAGAAGAGCTGAATATTATTAATTTAAGTTTGAGTGAGAGTTTACTTGGGTAGAGAATCTATGACTACTGTTTATATTAATGTCGTCAGTTTGATTATTTATCAATATTGTCAGCACCTTTACTCTTTTCACATACGATAGAGGAATGTAAAGTAGAATGTATGCTCTACTGTAAGATTATATTCGAATTATTACAATGATTATCTCATCAAACACGCCATAGTATATACTTTCTTGTCAATAATATTCATACCATACACATTGCAAGCTAGACCCATAGTCTGTACAAAAGGGAAAATAAAAAGTTTAATAGCAGATGACGAGATGTATGGCAGGCGTTTTAAAGCAGCGTTCAAATGAGCCTTGGTTGTTAAAGCAGACTTCAGAAAGTCGAAATAGACTTTATGGGGTGCTATTACAGATTCGCGAGCAAGTTCTCCAGTTAAAATGTCTAAGGCTTCGGTATTGATATCTTTAATAACAATTCGAAAATCCAAGTTAAAACTTAAGTGCAACAACGATAAATGAGGAGACGTTGTATCGCCCCTATATGAGTAGCTTTCATTACAGTGAAGGTATATCTAGATTTCGTACCCTTTTAGTATATATACTGAGTTTGAATAAAACACTTACTTGTATATATCTAAACCCTGTTGGAGGGAACCGTGTTCTCGACGGCGATTTCTCTAATGAAAACCGAGGGTCTTC